GCAAAATGGGGATAATAATGTTAGCTACTTAATAGGATTGTTATGTGGATTCTATCAGTTTGTGTCGTACAACAAATCACCCCAAATCATCATGGCTTAAAAAAATAACTATTTTACTTGGCTCACAAATCTATGGGTTGGCTGGGTGGCTCTTCTGGTTCTGCTTCCGTGGTCAACTTGTGGGTCTGCTGGAGGCCAGACAGTCTAGGATGGCCTGACTCACATGTCTGGTGCTTGACAGGTGTGTTGGTCGTCGGGGACTCATTTGGGACAGGATGCAACCTCTCATGCTCCAGTAGCCTAGCTCAGGCTTCTTCACATGGTGGTCTCAGGGTTCCATAGCATGGCACAGGAGGGCAGAGCTCAAGCACTTTTCAAGCCTCTGCTTGTGTTACATTTGCTGCCATTCCATTGACCAAAGCAAATCACATGGCCAGGCTCAGAGTCTGTGTGGGAGGGGACTCTCCAAGGTCAGGGATGCAGGGATACAGTGAAGGGAATCACTGCTACCATTTTTACAATGTGCCACGAGAATTGAATATTTGTAAAGTGCCTAGTGTAGTGCCTGACACATTTTAAGTGCTATATAAGTTTGTTAAGTTTGAAAAAGAGCAGTATTACCAGATTGTATTGATAGAGATTGAGCCAGTTTACATGTCCACCAGTGTGAATGCCTGTCTCCCAGTTTCTTCTTAGAAACTGTTTCAAAGTGGTTTATCCATGGAGAGGCAGATGTTCTTATCCCCATTTTACAGATGAAAAAATGATTCTTGGAGAAGTTAAGTCATTTTTCTGATATTACAGAGCCGAACTAGGATTTGAATCCTTTGTCTTTCTGACTCTAGAGCACCTCTGCTAGTCTTGCCACTCTAGACAGAGGTGAGATTCCTATGTCGCTAATGACCCCATCCACTGTTCCTGCCAACCCTTTGCATTTCATGTCCATCATTTCTATTTTACTTTTGGATCTTGCTGGGTTGAGAAGGATCTGTCAGTCTTTTGAATTCTTTAACAGTGATTTTGATTTCAGCTTGGCCTACTGAAATCAAAGCCAAGTGTCCGCAGAGACAGCGAGCTCTTTTATGACTGTGAAGGGATGATGAAGGGAAACCTGTCCTTTTACCACTTATAAATGGAGAAAACAGATGAGTCCGGCCTTCTTTTGTTTTACATCCTTTCTTTTCATTCCTCACATCCTTTAGCTTCCCTTTGCAACCCAGGGATTCCTTTCCCTAAAGGGGAAGAGATGAAGATGGGAGACAGTGTTTCTTGGTGGTTCAGGACTGCATCTCTGGAGACAAGCTGGGTTCAAGTTGAGCACAACTTCACTGGCCATGTGGCTTGGATGGGTTCACCTGCACCGAAAGGTTTTCCTGAGGTCTGTGGAAAGTGCTCCATTCTCATCATTACACAGCAGATTACTTTTGCTTCTGTTTTCTCTGTCTGTTTCACATCCCTTCTCCTCCACACCTATTCCTATGCCTCTAGCTATGTTTAATGATAAGGATAGCTAATATTTACTCAGCCCTTACTCTAAGCTCCTTTCATGTAATTAACTCATCTAAGCCTCACAACAAACCTATTAAATAGATGCTGTTTTATTCCCATTTTCAAGTGAGGAAGCTAGATGCTGAATGCTAAGTAATTTTCCCAACATACCATGGCTAGTAAATGATGTAGCAGGGATTTTAAATGAGGCATTTTGGCACCAGAGTCTGTGCTCTTATATTTATGCTTAAAAAAAAAGAAGGATGGGATGGAAGTTTGGGAATTTAAAATTGAGAGCTTCTGCCCTAGAAAAACTGCTGGTAAACTTTCATGCATCCTCTGTCCCTGGCAGTGGGTGAGTACACCCAGCTGTGATTTAGGCTGAAAATCCCAGCGTACACACAAAATAGGAACTTTCAGTTCTTTTGCCAGAAGGCTTTCTAGTTTAATCATATTAATTCTGACAAGATTTCGGGCATTGTGCCTCCCTTGTAACCGAGGTGAAACAGTGTTGAAAAATACATGGGGCTTAAAAAAAAAAGATTAGAAAATCCAGCTGACTAGTTTCAAGTCTTGCCACCTCTTGCTTCTTTTGATCAGCTGCTCTGGTGGTAGAGACACATTCACCAAAGCATCAAGAAAATAAAATGTGAATACTGCAGATAATATGTAACTTTTTGAGTTTAGAATTGTGCATATCCTCAAGCTGAAGGAAAGAACTGAGGCTGTTTCATAGGTATTTCCATGCAGACTATAAATGTAATGTGGTAACACTCATCAAACACATATTTTAACATTGACTTCCTTCTTTGTGCTAGAAATCCACTGTGGGTAAGCAAGCTCTGTATGGCTCTGATCTTGCAGACTTTGCAGGCTCTGAGAAGAGAGTTAAGCAGTACTATGAATTGTGGCATATATGGTTGCAGAGGAAGAATCAGTTACTGGGGACTGTAGTGGGTGTTCCTAACCTAGTCTGAGGGATTCGTCAAAACCTTCCAGTATGATTGTAGCCAATGGCTTGTCATTTATGGCTTTTATTATGTTGAGGGTGTGTGCCTTCTGTCCCTAATTTATTGAGAGTTTTTGTCATAAAGAGATGTTGAATTTTATGAAATGCTTTTTCTGTATCTGTTGAGATATTCATGGTTTTTGTCCTTTATTCTGTTGATATAATGCATTTATTGATTTGTGTGTGTTGAACCATCCTTGCATCCCTGAGATATAAATCCCACTTAATTATGATGTATTATCTTTTTGATGTGTTGTTGGATTCAACTTGCTAGTATTTTGTTGAGAAATTTTTGCATTTATATTCATCAGTGATACTGGTCTGTAGTTTTATTTATTTTATTTTATTTTTGAGAAAGAGTTTTGCTATTGTTATCCAGGCTGGAGTGCAATGGCACCATCTTAGCTCACTACAACCTCTACCTCCTGGGTTCAAGTGATTCCCCTGCATCAGCCTCCTGAGTAGCTGGGATTACAGGCACCCGCCACCATGCCCAGCTAATTTTTTGTATTTTTAGTAGAGACAGAGTTTCACCATGTTGGCAAGGCTGGGCTTGACCTCCTGACATCAGGTGATCCACCTACCTCAGCCTCCCAAAGTGCTGGGATTACAGGCATAAGCCACCACGTCTAGCCTGTAGTTTTTTTTTTGTGTGTGTGTGTGCCCTTGTCTGCTTGTGGCATCAGGGTGATTCATTCCTCAAAGAATGAATCAGGAAGAATTTTCTCCTCTTTAATTTTTTTGAATACTTTGTGAAGAATAAGTGTTGTTCTTCTTTATAAGTCTTGTAGAATTCCGCAAGACAGTCATCTGGTCCTGGGCTTCTGTTTTAGGGTGATATTTTTTATTACTGATTCAGTTTCGTTGCTCATCATTGGTCTGTTCAGGTTTTCTGTCTATTTTTGGTTCATTCTTGGTAGGTTGTATGTTCAGGAATTTATCCATTTCCTCTCTTCTCATTCAGACCAAAATCTTGAAGAATGAATCCTCAGAAAGCCCATCAACTGCTACTCAAATGGCAACAAGCCTGTAAGCACAAGGTTTAGTGAGAGTGGAATTGATGCTAACAGTGAGTGTGGAGGATTTTGATCACAAATTGTAGATTGCTTTGTGAGGCTTTTTGAAGTCTGGCCCATATCCAGGCCTTTAAACCTAAGTAGTAGGGCAGGGGATCATCTAAAATTAGGTCTACTTGTTTTCCATGCACTTGAACGTTTTGTTGTTGTTAGACTAGATTTGCTTCAAAATTGACTTGAACTGTAGTGCAGTTGTTGGCATGTTTTATTAGTAATAATCAAAAGAATCACCACTTAATCATTGCTATCTGCAATGCATTGTGTTAATACATACACACATTTTGCATATACATATATATATTTCATTGACTCTTCAAAACCATCTTTTTCCTTTTTGCAGTAAGCAACATTTATTCGTTCATTTATCTATCATTCTTGGGCTGAGTTAGGGACTAGGACTGCCAAAATACATGGCCCCTGAACTCTGAGAACTCAGTTTACTGATGATCAGACTTTAAAACAAATAGTTACCATGCCGTGTGATGACTACATTAGCAAAAGCATATCTAAAATATAGCCTAGAATAAAAAATGATTAACTTTTCCAGACAGGAGAGAGGAGTTGTGGTGTCAGGGGAATTTAATTTTAAACAGGACATGATTTCTGAACACATTCTTTGAAGTTCCATTTTTTTTCCTCAAGCATTATCTAGCTACTCTGACCTTCTCCTGGTCTCTTCTGCTCAAATAGCATGTTTTCCTGTATATTACAGTTGCATTCTTTATTCTGCAGACAGTCCTATCTTGCTTTATTCACTGATAGTTTATGGGTCATGGCTGCCTCTTTTAATTTTAACTTTTAATTACATTATTTATTTTAATTTTTGTAGAGATAAAGTCTTGTTTAGTTGCCCAAGCTGGTCTGGAACTCCTGGCCTCTAGTGATCTTCTTGCCTTAGCTTCTCAAAGTGCTGAGATTACAGGTGTGAGCCACCACACCCGGCCTTCTTTTAACTACAATCAAAAAGTCTTTTGGCTGGGTACGGTGGCTCATGCCTGTAATTCCAGCACTTTGGGAGGCTGAGGCGGGCAGATCACAAGGTCAGGAGGTCAAGACCATCCTGGCCAACATGGTGAAACCCTGTCTCTAGTAAAATACAAAAAGTTAGCTGTGTGTGGTGGCTCGTGCCTGTAATCCCAGCTACTCAGGTGGCTGAGGCAGGGGAATCACTTGAACCCGGGAGGTGGAGGTTGCAGTGAGCCAAGATTGCGCCCCTGTACTCTAGCCTGGCAACAGAGCAAGACTCCATCTCCAAAAAAAGAAAAAAAATTTTTTTTTCTTTAGAGACAGGGTCTTGCTATGTTATCCAGGCTGGTCTCGAGCAGCTTTTTTAAATTAAAATTTAACAGCTTTCTTGAGGAATGATTTATATATTGTAAAATTGACTTGTTTTAAATGTATAATTCAGTGATTTTTTTTTCTCAATTCTGTGTTCCCCCATTCACAGTACAGACCAGGCATGGGGCCTGAACTTGAGCTGAGGTGTATATGGTTAGGTTTATTCCACCTCCTCTTTCTATAAAGTCAGTGTAAGAACACAGCCTATGGTAAGCACCAGGAGGCCAATTCAAATCACCACTAGAAGTAGTAGCATCACTTGCATTTTCTCCGATGGAGACTGGGGCTCAGGGAAATGAGGTTTTGGATCCACACACATCCAGCTAGTCACTGGCAGAACTGGAATTCAAATGAGTGTAATGGCTCATTAAAGCATATTTAAGTTTGCCAGAGGGAAATAAACCTATGGAGCTTTTGAGTAGAAGGGCACCTTTATTGCCTTGGAATCTAAGGACTAGTTATATTATGAAACTAGAAAGTATCATTCACAGAGGGTTTAGGTAAAAACACTGGGAAAGAGGACTGAATTATGTGTAGTTTGAAAAGTGAGTAAAATACTGTAACAGTTGAACCAACAATGAATGTGTGTAGTAAAGCCACAAATTAAAATATTTTCTTGCAATTTTAATAATGAATCATGATGGTTACTTAGATTCTAAACCATTATGCTTATTATTTAGCTTTCCAGGGCATTTACAAATGTTAATTTCCTGATAGCGAATGCTTTCTTATTCTCACCCCCAAGCAAGCTGTGACATGGAATAGTCCAACAGGCAGTTAATAAGAGCAAGGCTCCCCCTCTCTTTCCCATCCAAATTACAGGGTTTGAAATGGTCTGAAATTGAATTAGCTGACTGGTGCAACAGTAGCAAATGCTTTATAATTTGTGTTGCCTTCAGAAATGGCAAAAATTAGGCTGCTGCTAATAGACCAGAACTGTCTGGACTCTGATAGGCTTCCCTCCTGCCTTCAGTGAAGGGAGTACAGTGGCTCCTGCTATTGAGCTCTGAATTATGCTTTACCTGCTGCAGTTCTGATTTTTGACTATCAATGCTGGGAAAATGACAACAGTGCTCCAGATGGTTGTTGACAGAGTAAAGCTACCTATTCCCTTTGCTAAAAGGAAGACTCAGACACAGCCTGTGCAGAGGGTTCTGCTGGGCCAGTATGCTGGGCTCCTCTCTTTATGCATTCATCATCCCAGTAATGGAATTGAATGTGACGAAGCCCTTCCCCGCCTCTGTTTTTGGGCCAGAAAGCCACAGGAATAGTCTCAATCCAACATTGGGACATTCAAGTGGGGATAAGTAGATCGTAGAATATTTTAGAGGTCAATATCAAAGGAAATGTATTTGAGATGATTCTAAGTTCAGTATGTTATTTCATATTCAGCAAACTAAGGCTAGACAGAGTCAGTTTTCAGGAAGCAGCCTAACACCCCTACTTTGCCCTAAAATGGAGATTGACAAACTTTTTCTGTGAAGAGGCAGATAGGAAATAGCTTAGTCTTCATGGGCCACAGGGTCTCTTATTGCAATGACTGAACTCTGCCTTAAAATGTAAATGCAAGGGTAGACAACACATGAAATGAATGAATGTGGTTGTGTTACTTATGGACATTGAAATCTGGATTTCATCTCATTTTCACATGTCGTAAAATACTATTATTCTGATTTTTTTTCAATAATTTAAACATGTAAAAAACACTCTTAGCTTGTGGATCATACTAAAACAGGTCATGGGCTAGATTTGGCCGGTGGACTGTAATTTGCCACCCTCTGCCCTAAAGCATTAGAGATTCCTCTAATGTGTTCCAGGTGCACCTGCAGTTTGTTTTCCAGTACGTGAGCCATCCTTTTCCGCCAAAGCCTGTCTCCATATTCAGTAGGTTATGCAGAGCGACATGGCTAGAAAATGAGAAACTCAACTGAAACCAGGATATTCCAGTCTTCTGCCTTCATCGCTTGCTGCCTTGTCTATCTCTCCCTCACACACCTCTGCTTGATGCTCATGGTACCCTTTCTTGATGACATGGGATCTCATTTCTGTTCTTTGAGATCCTGGTAAGTTACATTAATCAGAAATGTAGACTTATACATTAAAATAAAAATGAAGCAATTAGCATTCAACAGAATGTTACAAAAGTTGGTAGTGAGGGCAAGGATATTGTTTCCTTTACAGAAATGGGTTTGGAAAGATCTGTTTGTTTTGTTTATTCATCTTCAGATAATTTATCATTACAGGTTATAAAATGAAATTAGTTGAGAGTATAACAAGCTGTGTGCTCTACTACAAATTTATTGAAGTTCTATTTGAATGGATTTTTTTTTATACGGTGAATAGTGGTTACTTGGGATGCAGAGGGCTCTCTGAACTGTGGACAGGTGCAGGAACTGCTCAGGCACACTATGGTTATTGGTTGGCTGGTTGCATGAATACCCTGTGAGGTGAGACCCAAGATCAGGTTAGAGTTCACCTGTGCTCAGAAATTTGGTGCTTAGATAATGGTTTAATGGATGTCATTGCACTGTGGCATCTAAACTGGCACATACAGGCTCGTGACTTATTTTTCTCATCTGTGAAATAGAGATGATTGACATGCACTTGACTTGTCAGAATCAAGTGAGACAGTTTATGTTTGCCAAGTCTGAGAGACTACACTCAGACTTGGCAAACATAAACTGTCTCACTTGATTCTGACAAGTGGGAATTCATGCTTCACAAGTTGGGCTGGTTATTGGGAGTGAGTGTGGCTTTCAGAAAATACAAATTCCCAGGCTCACCCCAAATTCAGAATTTGTATGATAGGACCTAGAAGTCTAAATTTTTTAGACTTTGGGAAACTCCGATATGTTCCATAAACCTCAGCAATGGAGTTAAGTAAACTAAATACTTCCTTGAATCCTAGCGTGCAGTATTCCACTGAAATTTCATACTATTTGTCTTCATGAACAATAAAGGTATAGGAAGAGGGAGGGCCAGGAAGGGCACAAAATATCTTCCCTTTATCTTCTTGGGGACGTCTGTTTCAGCAAGTAGAAGTAGAGCAAGAGCTGGTGTTTCATTGTCCCACCCATAATTGAACCCAAATTATGTTTTTCCTCCTTCAGCTCTCCCTCTGCAGCCCCAAGATTTATGGTGGTGGTTTCACCTTCTTCTGTGCATTGAAGCATATTTGTGAAAGAAAGCCTAGATTGTGCACATTGAAAATGTACAACAGATTGACAAAATCCTTTCCAGTTTTGCTACTCAAAACTCATCACTGAAAATGTCTTTTTGAGTTATTTCTGGAAATAACACAATTGTAGTGTTGGCACATATAGATCACAAACACAAAAAGAATCTCAGTAGTACTAAAAAGATAAATGTGAATTTCTCACATTTTATGCATTGCTGCTAATTTACATGTGAGTAATTGTAGATTTTAAGTGAATGAAAGCATCCACCTCCATACTAGAAGCCCAGATTGTTTACCACAGTAGAATTCAGTAGTATGCACATATACACAAATGCTCTCATATAGTATTCTGCAAATTCCTGATGTTTGAGAGCCACAACAAAGTATTCTTCTGTTTGCAAAATTCCTACCACAAATATTAAGTATTTACTGTTTTCCAGGTACCTTGTTAGCAATTTAAATAAGGCATAGTTCCACATTCCTTATCTCAGAAGTTCACAGGCTAGAAGGAAGATGATCACGAAATAAATCACTGTAGAAAAAATGAGCTTTAATATTAATCCTTTTTAAAATCAAATCATCTTTTCAAATGGTATTTATTATAAAAGTAGAGAATTTGGCCAGGCTCAGTGGCTCATGCCTGTAATCCCAGCACTTTTGGAGGCCGAGGCAGGCAGATCAAGAGGTCAAGAGATGGAGACCATCCTGGCCAACATGGTGAAACCCCGTCTCTACTAAAAATACAAATATTAGCCAGGCATGGTAGCATGCACATGTAGTCCCAGCCACTTGGTAGGCCGAGGCAGGAGAATCACTTGAAGCTGAGAGGCAGAGGTTGCAGTGAGCCAAGATTGTGCCACTGCACGCTAGCCTGGTGACAAAGCGAGACCTTAAAAAAAAAAAAAAACAAAAAAAAAACCAGAGAATTTTTCCAATGGAAAAATATGAGATCAAGATATTCACTCTGATCCTTTATACCATGTCCCTGTTTTTATTAACTTTACGGAGATAATCCTTTGAAAGTAAGTAGATACCTATAAATATGTGAGGGACTAGCAGGAGTATCTTGTCCATGTAGTAATGCAGTTGGATGTGTTCATACCTATTGTGTAGCATCCATTTCAAGCTTCAGCTATCTCTGGAAGATGACTTTGGTTTTTTTGAAATGAAGTCTGGCTCTGTAACCCAAGCTGTAGCACAATGGCGTGATCTTGGCTCACTGCAGCCTCCACTTCTTGGGTTCAAGCAGTTGTCTAGCCTCAACCTCCCAAGTAGCTGGGACTACAGGTGCACACCACCATGCCTGACTAATGTTTTTGTATTTTTAGTAGAGATGGGGTTTCATCATGTTGGCCAGGCTGGTCTTGAACTCTTGACCTCAAGTGATCCTCCTGTCTTATACTCCTGAAGTGCTGGGATTACAGGCGTGAGCTACCATGCCCAGCCTGGAAGATGTCTTTGGTTGCTGGGTCTCTACCCTGTGTCTCCACGTCTCCAGAGATAATTTTCAGTAAAGTCCTGAATACCACCACTTTCCTACTCTTAAATGTTTCTCAAACTCAATATATGAAAAATAGAGCTTATTCTTACTCCCAAACCTGATCTTTTCTTTTAGGCTTCTTATTTCAGGGACCCTGTTGCCATTTTTCCAGATGCAGAGGCTTCAAACTTTGAGATCATCTCTGACTCTTCCTTCCTCTTGACCCTAATCAGGAGCCAGATGCTATTGGGCCTTTGTCTTCATTCCTGTCCACTGGAGGTGATTTGGTTTGGCTCTGTGTCCCCACATAAATCTCATCTTGAATTGTAATCCCCAGGGGTTTTCCGCGTGATGTTCTTGTGATAGTTCTCACAAAATCTGATGGTTTAAAAGTGTTTGGCAGGTTCCCCTCTCTCTTCTGCTGCCATGTAAGACGTGCCTTGTTTCCCCTTCATCTTCTACCATGATTGTAAGCTTCCTGAGGCCTCCCCAGCCATGCAGAACTGAGTCAATTAAACACATTTTATAAACAATTGCAAAAAAAGTAATTTTGTTTATAAATTACCCA